TCACTCTAGCCCGGGCAAAAGAGTGAGACTCTGTCTCAAAAAAAAAAATTAAATCAAAAATCACAAAAAGTATCCAATAAAATGGTAAAAAAAAAAACAACACACACACACACACACACACACACACATTTTTGCATATTTTCAAAGTTAACAAAAGTTTGTTTTCATTACCACAGTCATACCTCACGAGGATCAAAATAAGATCTGGCCAAGAGGTTTTCCAGATGAATATACCGCTCTGGTTGTGTTTGTTTTAACATGATCATAGGGTCAGTTTGTCTCAAAAGTGACCTGGCAGCACCCAATTCACGGAGCTCAATCAATTCTAGAACAACCTGGACAATTGAAAGGAAATAGATGTTTTAACACATTTTCTTACTAATATTTCTTTTTCAATACAATGTCTAACACAGATATGGCCAGCCAAAGTGATTTCCAACACTGGGAAATGCCCCTTTTCCTGTTTACCAGCAATTTCAGGTGGACAACTGAAATTTTATAATATATAAATTTATAATACATAAAAAATATAAATATATTTATATTAAATATAAATAATAACTTCAATCCTTCAAAAGCCATCCTTAATTTTTATCTACCAATCTCTCCTCCTCTCAGGCATCCTGTTCAGAACATAGCTGAAGAAAAGTAAAAACAGGATATTCCTATCTCCGACAGGAATATCAGGGTATCTCCTGATATCTGGAGATATCAGGAATATCTCCAGAATATCTCTGGAGTGTCTCCTTTCTCCAGTTACCAAAATTTTCTTTGGGGAAATACTGAACTCACGTAGATTATAAAGAAACAAATCAGCTTCCCTATTTTTACTTCAAACAACACTATAATCTTATTTCCAGAAAGTCTACTCTGTTGTTTTACAATAAATAATTTGTCTGATCTTTGTCCTAGACACCTGGTCTGGAGCCTCTAAAACCCTTGGAATTCTGCCAGTGATAGGAGTATCTTGTTATCCATGGGCCCCTTGAATCACACCTGAGTTTGTGCTAAGGCAATGGCTCAGCGTTGAGGCTGGTTACCACAAAGACCAAGTATGCAATTAGAAGGCTGGGGCTCTGAGCCAGCCCAATCTCCAAGGAGGTGAGGGATAAAGAGAAAGTGGCTGGAATTATCAATCATGCCTATGTAGTGAAACTCCAATAAAAACCTCAATGGAGGCCAGGCGCGGTGGCTCACGCCTGTAATCCTAGCACTCTGGGAGGCCGAGGCGGGTAGATCGCTCAAGGTCAGGAGTTTGAGACCAGCCTGAGCAAGAGCGAGACTCCGTCTCTACCAAAAAAAATAGAAATGATCTGGACAACTAAAAATATATATATAGAAAAAAATTAACTGGGCATGGTGGCGCATGCCTGTAGTCCCAGCTACTCGGGAGGCTGAGGCAGAAGGATTGCTTGAGCCCAGGAGTTTGAGGTTGCTGTGAGCTAGGCTGACGCCATGGCACTCACTCTAGCCCAGGAAACAAAGCGAGACTCTGTCTCAAAAAAAAACTTCAATGGAGCTTCCTGGTTGCTAACTACATTGACATGCCAAGTGTGTAGCACATCCTGATTCCACAGGGACAGCATGGAAGCTCTGCATTCAGGACCCTCTCAGACCCTGCCCTGGGTATCTTTTCATTTGGCTGGTCCTCACCTGTATCCTTGCTAATAAAACCATAATCAAAAGTACAGAGCTTTCTGAGTTCTGTGAGTCATTCTAGCAAATTATCAAATCTGAGAGGGTCATGGGAACCCCAGAATTTGTAGGCAGTTGGTCAGAAGGGTGAGTGGCCTAGAGACTCCCAAAATATAGCTGGTATCTGAAGTGAGGGCAGTCATGTGGAGGTCTGAGTACTTAACTTGTGGGGTCTACGCTAACTCCAGATGGTTAGTGCCGGAAGTGAACTGCAATACAATAACTGGTGTCAGAATATTTTGTTTAACAATCACTTAAAAAATAATTTCAATTGGGGAAAATCTTGTATTTTCCAAGAAGAGAGAAAAAATCAGTGTAAGTTTTAAGAGCTGTTATATGGCCCTACAGGGCTTGAAGAAATGCTCACTGATGCTTCCTAGTAAGGGAGCCTGACCACAACAAACCAACCCATGGGGATCAGTATCACCACCACTCTTACCTGTTCATAGAGGTCAATGAGGGTTTTGTCTGGCAATTTCAGAGATTGTATAGCCTGTAAAACAGTATCCCAATGGCCACTATTAATGTCAGCCACAAAACTCTCAATACTGTCCACAGTATTCAGAGACACAGTAGTCTCCTCCTGTAAGGTGGCTAACGCCCGATGTAAACTGTTCTCCTTCAAGTACTGCATGATAAGACGAATCACACTGAAAAAAAGAAAGTTATTCAGCTCAGGGATTCTCACTAACCAGAAGCCAAAACTAAAGCCCACCCCAGCTCATCCTTCTTTCACTACCTGCTTTCCATTTCTTTATCATGTAAGGAAAACTTCCCAATAATCGAAGAATCTAATTATAAGGGATTCCCCTTGTGGAAACACAAGTGGGGTTCAGAGAGGGGAAATCATTCGCCTAATGTCTCAGTCAGCTAGAAGGGGAGTTGGTACCAAGGTACCTCTTATTGGTACCTCTTATTTCCTAGGTCAGAACTCAGTTTCTTATTAATTCTTATGATTATACTGTCACACATTTTAGTGAAATATTTTAAACCTTGTCTAGTTGATACTAAATAATCTAAATGATTGTGGGATGATTTAGCCCGCTTTTAAAAACAAAAAAAATATGAATTGAGTTGTTTTTTTTTCTGGGCTAGTCAAGTGAAGCAGTGTGAATGGAGAAGAAGCAAAACAATCTGTAACTGGTTGTGATCAATTAGTTGTAAACACCACTGCACTTGGACCAGCCTGAATTGAGATTTTCTTAATGGAGAATTGCTGAACATAAATAAGTAGAGCTGTACCATATGTAAAAGCAAAACAAAGCTACGCTTTTTCATTTGCAAAAATAAAACCTACTCACTGCCTTTATTATCAAATTTTCAGAAGTGAAATAAAAACATTGTAGAGTCAGTTTCCCAAGGAAAAGAGGAGCCAGACAATTTCCAAATATTGAAAGAATAAGTAACCATTTTCAACATGTGACAGAAAACTTACATGTTTTTAATACTGGTTAATAATCAAATATATAGTTACTTATAGTTAAAACCTCTTGATCTCGGGCTTGATAATAAGGAGTCTGGTGAAGAATCTGCTCATACAGACTACACGAATTCACTGGATGATGTTGTGATCACTGTTTTCCTTCCCTTCCTTTAAAGTATATATGTGGCTCGCACTTTATTTCTATTAGACAATACGAGGGTCAGTCTGTCCTGGTTGTAAGGAACTTCAGATTGGAATTTAGTAAATTCCCTTTCTCAGAGGAGAAATAATAATCATAAAACAATAACTAACATTATTACATGTTTACTATACAATACGTACTGTTCTAGGCATTTTAGACATATTGATTCATTTATTCCTCAAAACAGCCCTATAAGGTTAAGTATTACTGTTATCCCCAATTTACAGATGAGAATTTGACTAAATAACAGAGATAACAGGTAGAAAAATGAGGATTCAAACTGGCAGTGTGGCTCTAAAGCATACATCATTGAGGAGAAAGCAAACACTCTCTTCTTAAAAACTTCTGCAAAGGGGAACTGATCACTGCTATTTGCAGTCTTTTTCTCTCATAGCCCCTTTATGAGGTACCCACGCTTAGACCCCTGCTATTCTAGCACAGTACTATCTTCCTTAGCACACTTCCTTTGACTTCCATTTTGCACTCCCATATGAGAAGCCCTTCCCCTCAAAGACCTCATATTTGACACAGCCCAAATCAAATTCACTACTTTTTAACACAATGTAATACATAAAGAGCTAAAAGGTTTGGAGACAGGATAGGATTTGAATCAGAGTTCTGTCACTTACTAACTGTGACCTTGGGCAAGTCAGTTAACGTCTCTGTGCCTGCATCCTCATCTGTTAAAAATATCTACCCTATAGGGTTAGTAAAAGAGTTGATTATATGGCTTACAGCATGCTTAGCATAGGAAGTACTTAGCAAATAATAACTATCATTGATGATAAAAACATGCAACAGTCACTGTTGTTACATCTCGGGTGTTCAGAGCTGGGAGAATGGTTGTTGCAGCTATCATTAAGGCCCAGAAGCATGGAATCCTTTCCAACTCCTGCCCTGACTTAGTTATCTTAATATCCAGCATTCCCTAGCATCCTTCTTTGCTTTATTTTTCTCCAAAACATTTACCACCATCTGTTGTACTTCATATTTTACTTATTGTTTTTGTCTACCGTTTGCCTTTCCCAGTCACAAGGTACGTTCTATAAGAGCAGGGATTTTTTTGTCTGTTTTGTTCACTGCTGTATATCCAGCGTCTAGAAGGTACACAGTAGTCTTCAACACTTGGGGGATGAGTAATCCTCCCTCCTATACTAGGTCTGCTAATTTAATTATTAAGTGTTGGCAAGAACAGGTGGAGGATGGAGTCCCAGAGAAGTCCACAGAGGACCTTCTTTAGTCACTCACTATTTCTTGCCCCGCCTCCCTCGCAAACTATTCTTTCTGGCCCAATTCCCAGGTTCTCTCTCTCCTTTGTAGGTACACGGAGCTTGCAGACAAACCGATCGGGCCTGATAAAACAGCTAGTCGTTCATTCATTCCAAAAGCAATAACTGAGCCTCTATGGTATGGACACGGGGACTATAAAGAAAAGGAGTCCCTAGGAGCCTACATAGGCTAGAGAATTTGGGGGAGGAGGAACAGTGGCAATACTGAGTGTTAAGTGCTAGGAAGAGGAAAGGAAAGGGACCGTGTAAGCACAGAAGAGGAAACGAATCACACTGTTTAAGGGAGGCGGGGAGAGAAGCAAGGCTTAGAGACAAACCCCCTTGTGCAGATAATCAGACTTGAGTCCAGAGTGGATCGGAAATTTGCTCAGTCACAGAGCACGCCAAGAGTCGGCGAAGAGTAAAACTCAGGTCTGCAAGGTGTGTTTTTCCCCCATCCCCGCTGCCTCCCGCCAGGCTTTGGGCTTCACATCCGAGTGCTGCTACATTCTTGTGGGCCCAGCTCCGAGGCAGCCAGATCCAAAAAGCTTCTTTGCGGAGCAAGGAGATGGCCCTGCACTCCTCAGCCTCTCGGACACCTCCTCCTAAGTACCCTCCACCCCACACCCTTAACCTTCCGGCCCCCGTAACCATCCACCATCGCAGGACTCACTCCGAGGACTCGATTTCGATCGACATAGTGGTATCTCTTCGGGCGCAGGCCCCACTCCACTCTCAGGCCCAGTCGCGCAACACACCAACGACACCTCCGGCGGCCGCCTTACGTCACTTCCGCTCGCCTTGGCGTCAGACGCCCTCCCTGGGGGAGGTGTGTACGGAAGGAAGGGCGTGGAGGGTGTAGGGGCGGGGCCTCGAGGGGCCGGCAAGGGTTGGAGTCTAGGGGCGTGCCCCGGAAAAATAGTTGAGTTAAAAAAAAAAGAAAAACAGACTTTGAAAGCAAAACACGATTTAATCCCCCTAACGATGAAATGTTTGGGATCCAGTTAAAATTGGAATTAACTGTTTCTTGGAAAAAGCTAAATTACTAACAGCCTTTCCAACTAAGCGTTTAGTTGGAAAGGGTTTTACTGCAGTGGTACACTAGAAAAGCAATAAAACCAAATGCAAATGTGTAAAAGCAGATTTGAGACTCCTTTTAATAGACTTTAAATCCTACATTATTAAATTTGTAGTGACAAATGAAATGTAGAGATGTCAACGAATTTCATAAACAAAGGCTGCTTTGAAAATATTGCCATTCTATACTATATAAATTTTGAAAAATATTTGCAGCACAATAATAAGAAATATATGTTGTGAAATTACATATTGAAATGATGTATTTGGGGATTTTCTACTGGCTTTCAGTTTTGTCTGATACTGTCCCCAAAGGACACACAACTTCTCTGTAGCCTTTTAAATACTGCTGCTTCTTTCAAATCATCCTCTATTTCCATCTACTCTTGAAGGATATGGTCTCCAAGGTATCAAACATTTTAGAGTCTGAATGTTTGCCTCAATGTGTAGTGAGATATCAAGATGGATTATGTGATTTCTGATATATCCCTTCACTATCCCATCTCATGACATAACATAGACAATTATTATAACATTTTCATTGAAAAGAAGACGCAGCTCACTTGCAACAGTAGCATATGTCCTCATTTTCTCTACCTAATACTTGTCATGTTGTTTTTCCTTCAACTAAGTTTACTTCTCTATTTTGCTTTTATACAAATAAATCCTCTCTGTAGGTATTTAACACCAGGTTTTATTCTAGTTCAGCGGTCCCCAGCCTTTTTGGCACCAGGGACCGGTTTCATGGAAGACAATTTTTCCATGGACTTGGGGGCTGGGCGGAGCTCAGGGAGTGATGTGCCGCTGGGTTCCTAATAGGCCACAGACCTGTACCGGACCACGGCCGCGGGGTTGGGGACCGCAGTTCCAGTATACACCATTCCTCCACTTTCACTTTGAATGAAATGGTTTCTCCTATGACTCCTTTAAATCCAAACTCGTTTATTATATATAGATGTAATCATCCCATGGCTTCATTATGTCTTCATAGTAATGTCCGTGGATTTCAGTACTGAAATACATACTACTTTATTTCATAACAAATTAAATTTTAATTTTTCCTATACGTTAGGCATTATATTGATTTTTTCATTATCTGTGTAAGTAGATTATATCATCTATGAATTTCAGGATACTAAAGAGAATGTTACAAAATATTTGGAGAGCATCAAGCCTAATAGAACTGAGAATGTGATGGAGAGGTCCCTACCAGAAATGGTTCCAAAATAGTAATTCCAATCTATTAATATTTTCCTTACTCTCTTTTTTTAACCTTAGAAAAATCTTTTTGGAAGATAAAATCTCTTAGAATAAAGAAACATTTATGTAAGTTCAGCAATTCTTTTGATTTCATTTCAGTTTCCTTTTATTCAATCAATTACAGGTACAACTAAATTGATTACTTTTTCTCTGAAAAATAGCATGAATTATATGATTCTATTTTATGAAAGCACAGGTCTACAATTTCTTTTTTTTTTTTTTGAGACAGAGTCTCACTGTGTTGCCCGGGCTAGAGTGCCGTGGCGTTAGCCTAGCTCACAGCAACCTCAAACTCCTGGGCTCAAGCGATCCTCCTGCCTCAGCCTCCTGAGTAGCTGGGACTACAGGCATGCGCCACCATGCCCGGCTAATTTTTTCTATATATTTTTTAGTTGTCTGATTAATTTCTTTCTATTTTTAGTAGAGACAGGGTCTCACTCTTGCTCAGGCTGGTCTCGAACTCCTGAGCTCAAACAATCCGCCCGCCTCGGCCTCCCAAAGTGTTAGGATTACAGGCGTGAGCCACCGCGCCCGGCCTACAATTTCTTATCTGCAATTCTAAAATCTAAAAATCCGTGAAAATTAAAGGTATTTTTAAATTTTTTTATTTATTTTATTAGAGATGGAATCTTGCAGTGTTGCCCAGGCTGGTCTCGACCTCCTGACCTCAAGTGATCCTCCCATCTCAGCCTCCCAAATAGCTGGGATTACAGGAGTGAGCCACCACAGCTAAAATCAAATGTATTTTATAAGTCATTTAGCAGCAAAATCTGTCCTGAACTTAAGTGAGGGTATTTACAGTCTTTTAAACATCTTTTAGTGTGACTATTCATATGTAGAAATATTAATATACTTGATATGGAGTAATGCTCTAGATCCTGCTAGGAGGAAGATAAGATATATAACATATATACTATATTATCTTTCCAAAATATAAAATTTCCAAATTCCAAAATATGTCTGGCCTAAAGATTTTCAGAAAAAGTATTGTGAACCTGTTCTGTCTATCTATATATCTAATCTATTATGGCATACATAAGGGCTATTTGGAATAATGTTCACTTCACACCATCTGGGTGATGGGATTAGAACTAATATTTTGTTCTCTTCATTTTCTTCATAGTTAAAATTCTTTTTCATGGATTAAAAATTTCATAAAATTCTTATTCATAAAAAATAAAATATTTTTTAACAATTTAACAAGAGGCCTAGCATGGTGGTTCATGCCTGTAGTCTCAGCACTTTGGGAGACATAGGCTCATAGATCTATTGAGCCCAGGAGTTTGAGACCAGCCTGGGCAACATAGCCAGCCCCTATCTCTACAAAAATAAAAATAAAAAATTAGCCAGGCATGGTAGTGTGCACCTGTAGTTCCAGCTACTCAGGAGGATGGCTTACGCCCAGGAGTTGGAGGTTGCAGCAGGCTGTGATCGAGCCACTGCATCCAGCCTGGGTGACAGAATGAGACCTTGTCTCAAAACAAAAAAAAAATTAATCCCTGATAATTCTAATTTCAGAGAAAAAAAAATTGCCTCTAAACTGAATGAAAGAAAGAAACAGAGAGAGAGAGAGAAAGAAAGAAAGAGAGAGAGAGAGAGAAGAGGGAAGGGGGTATAAACTGCTTTCTCTCTGCATTTTTTGCTGCTTGAGAAAATCCCTGGTGCCTAGTGGTCTGTTTCAAGTCAGAACTTGGTATTTGCTGCTGTGTCCGTGGTTTATGCATTCATATCAATTGAATCATGAAATCATGGACACCATTCTTGAGAAATGAAATTTGATTGTTATAGTTAGCAGCCACAGATGTCTCCTCATCCTTTGCTTCTTAGATGTATTGGATTTTAAATCTCTCATTGACAGCCAATGCCCCTGGCATCACAAACCCTCTTCAACCATGTTTCCTCGGTAATAACAGAGTGGAATATGACGTTTTTGTTACCGTACGTAATAAAACCACAAACTTTATTTGGGGAGGTTTTTCCCCCTTAAACTAGTTGCTTATACAAGTCTTCTGTATCCCAACTATATAATCTGTCAATTTCCATGCCCTATCCATATCCAAAAGTGTAAGATTTTGTCAACTTGCTGATCTCCTGTTAGCAAGTTGATAAACTTCACCAATTGCTAACTATCAATTTCTCTAGGAAATTTTGTTTTTAACACTAGACAAATGAGGTCTCTGTTTTACATTGCTGCATCCACACACGGATAAAAAAAACTCAAGCAGGCACACACACAGACACCTTCTAACCTTTAAATCAGGCAGTCGTATTCACCAGGAGTCCTCCCCCCTCGTATTCAGAGGCTGGGTCACAGCCTTCCAAACCAGATTTCTAGTAACCAAATGGCACTGACCCCAAGGGAAATCCCGTCTCCCGATCATGCCCACTTTCTGGAGAATCGGCCCCTTCCCAGAAGTCCACGTAGCTGCATCTCCTTAATCCAGCAGAGGGCAGGATGGCCACAGTAAAACTGCCATTGTAAACCCAGCCTCCAGATACCTAACTGGTTATTAAGGAATGGAAGTGGGGGGAAGAGAGATTTTTGATACCATGGGCAAAAGAAGTACAGTAGAAGGCAGGGTCAATATTTGAGTGACAAAATGGAGAGAAAGGTTGGCTTTACATCCTATTAAACTAGACCAATTTCATCTAACATGATAATAAGGGAAAGTGTAGAGAAAAATTATCACACAATTCTACCTGCTCATGTCAGGACATGAGTTACAAATTATGAGGGTTAAATGAGTTAATACATACAAAATATGAGTTAATACACACAAAAAATGAGTTAATACATACATACAGAACAGGGCCTGGCATATAGAAGCACTGAGAAAGAGTTTGTTATTATTATTATACGTACTAAGAAAAAGCCCCTCAATTTTCTATGTTTCTTAACACGATAAATTAAATACTGTGAGTTAAAATAAAGTCTAAAACTGGTCAGTTTTGGAGTGAGGGACTACTCTCCTCTTTCGTGTGATGCTGCTGTCACCAATGGACTTGTGCCCAGCTCATGTGGCACCAGGTGGGAGCTGGCTAGTCTCCAGTAGTCATCTACTTTTTCTTGCCCCCTGGAATCCCTGTTTGTGTCCTGCTGGCCAATTCAGTGTGTGTGACACAGAGCCAGCAGATCCTTTGTTTACACAGAAACGGTTCTTCCCACAAGGCTGGGGCTCAAATGTGAGGCAGTTCCCCACATCATGACTTGTTAGCACTTGTGGTTTCTAGAGGCATCCCTTAGTACACCTTTGATCTGGCATCTGCGCAAACAGAATCCACAGGGCTGGACCACATGTGCCCCAGAGGTTTCCTGTACTTTCCCCACAGGGATTTCCCACTGTTGTCCTTTTTCTTAAACAGCACCTCTGATTTCCTTATCCAGACTACTTTCCTACAATGTCCAGGGACTGCAGGGCACAGAATAAGTTCTAAACTTGTATACCTGGGATGTTTAGCCTTCCTTTA